TGTGTGTGTGTGTGTGTGTGTGTGTGTGTGTGTGTGTGTGTGTGTGTATTTCCAGTGTGAGTCATCCATGTTTGTTTCTTTGAGTGTGTGTCGGATGAGGCCACAATATACACAGTGTGTATCATGCAGTACATACATGTTTCCCTTTGTGTGTGTGTGTATCAGAGCGGAGAAGGAGTGGGGGGATGGGATCCGCGGTCTCTCGCTCAGCGCTGCCCGATATGCTCTCCTGAGGTTGGAGGAGGGACCGCCGCACACCAAGAACTGGAGGTACAGCAGCACCGACGCTTTGCTTCTCTTACAACCTGTCATCACGTCCTTTTTATAAGTGCCCCATTAAGCTCAGCCTGCATGGCATCCATTAAATAGCTTTACATTACCACGATCCCCTTCACAGTCGGCTTTACCGGCGGCCCTTCAGCGACTCTACTTCGAGTATCTCCCAATGCTCTTAACCCTTTGAGCTCTGCAGTAGAAATAGTCCACGACTGACATTATTTGAGCTATGTAAGCTACATTTTCTAGTTTTTGAGCGGTGTACAAAGGCGTTGATAGTTTCGCCACGTCATGCACGTATCTTAAAGATGCCATCACAGGCTATTGTGGTTTTTATTTTAGATCAATTAAACCGGATCATGTAAACAACGGTCACAACGGATAGTGAGACATATTTAGTCTCGTACTACTAAACAGAAAACTCAATTTTTCACACGATACTCATGAAACCTTTTCAATGCATCCTTTATATTCTCCATGGATTGTGTAGGAACAAGCTGCTGTTATTGATTCTTAAAACCCACATGCTTTAACACACTCTTCTCGCCCGCTCCTCTCCAGGCCTCAGGTGTTGGTCTTGCTAAAACTGGACGAGGACGCCCACGTCAAGTCTCCTCGCCTGCTGACGTTCGCCAGCCAGCTGAAGGCGGGGAAAGGCCTGACCATCGTCGGCACCGTCGTCTCCGGCAACTTCCTGCAGAGCTACGGCGAGGCCCTCGCCGCCGAGCAGGTGGGAGGTTCTATCTTGGCAGCGCGGCGCGTGGTGCGCTCCACGTGAAAGGTTTTTGGTCAGTCTGTAGATCTAGTTACCTTCTACCTCTTTCAGACTCTGAAGCACCTGATGGATAAGGAGCGTGTGAAGGGCTTCTGTCAGTGCATCGTGGCCCAGAAGCCACGTGAAGGCATCAGCCACATGATCCAGTCCAGCGGCCTGGGAGGCATGAAGCCCAACACCGTTGTGATGGGCTGGCCTCACGCCTGGAGGCAAAGCGAGGACCCACAGGCCTGGAAGACCTTCATCAGTGAGTCGAACAGGATGGAAAATACCTCTTTCTTTCCCTGATCTCGTGAATTCTTATTTCTCTGAGCTAGCATTCTAACAGCACCGCCTCTCTCTTCCCTCCAGACACGGTGCGGGTGACAACGGCGGCCCACTTGGCCCTGCTGGTGCCCAAAAACATCTCCCTCTTCCCCAGCAACAGCGAGCCCTGCGCAGAGGGCTACATCGACGTCTGGTGGATCGTCCACGATGGGGGGATGCTAATGCTGCTGCCCTTCCTGCTGCGCCAACACAAGGTGGGAGCGCGTGTTTTTCTTTCTGTATTTGAACACATTTTGAAACGTCTCGCCTTCATTTAGAACATCTCTAGTGTAAGTATCCTCTCTTTCTCAGGTGTGGCGTAAGTGTGGCATGCGGATCTTCACGGTGGCCCAGATGGAGGATAACTCCATCCAGATGAAGAAGGATCTGGCAACCTTCCTCTATCACCTCCGCATTGAGGCCGAGGTGGAAGTGGTTGAGATGGTAGGCTTCTCACAACTATTAGGGTGGTTTATCTCTGACATTTTCATTCATTTCAATTGTGTTAGCCACAAAGCTCATCTATATCATTGTTTTCCCTCCTCTCAGCACGACAGCGACATCAGTGCGTACACCTACGAGAGGACCCTGATGATGGAGCAGAGGTCTCAGATGCTCCGACAGATGCGACTGTCGAAATCGGACCGGGAAAAAGAGGTAAACTTGGGTCGAGTGCTCGCGAGCATCTTTTTCCGTCGGGTCATCAGTTGTGTACGAGGTCAGCCGTGGCATACTCGTTCTGATCTGTCTGTGGTTGTCGTGCATCATTTCTATCAGGGAAATCCTGGTAGCGGCAGCAGTAGGACAGAGGCAGGTGGAGCTACAAGGTCTCAGGTGAGGTCAGTTTAAAGGTAGTAAGACCTTCTTCGGTTGGTTAAAACCAAAGCTCCAGTGATTTAAAAATATATAGAAACCTTAAACGTTGTTGAAATTACAGAAATGATGGGACAAATGTCATTTTTAAATCAAATTCTCTGAGATAATTTTTATTTTCTTCAATGATTTCCACATAAAACCAGACGTTAGGAGACTTAAAAGAAGGAAAGACTTGATTTTAAGGACAGGAGTTTCACTTATTATATCTGCGTCTGTCTGATATATTGGTATCTCAATTCAACAGTGGGAACAGCTTCTCCCGTTCAGCTTTAATATTAAAGTTCGTGTCATTATTTTTCTCCTTGGTCTCCTCAGCGGGCACGCTGGAGTTTTGATGATGTAAGTTTACTGGTCGCACAGTCGTGAAGCTGTGGTAAAGCTAGTAGACGCACAGTTAAAGTGAAGAGCACGTGTTTTTAGATCAGTGAATCCTTCAGATAAAGACGAAAAATAAAAGTCTGAATGTTGTTGGTCCTTTTTTAAAATCAACATACCAATAATAATTCACCAATAAATGCACATTTAGGTAGCATATTAGCATATTTACTGGGAAGAAGACATTGAATCCTTACTAAGAGCTCGGTAAGATCAGATCTCGCATTTATTGCACTCCCAAATTCATCGTTCATCTGACATTTTCAGTTCTTAAAAGTCTTTATCTGAAGGATTCAATTTAGAGTTTGTCCAATAATGATGTTCATATTTGCTGATCGGAGTCAAATGTACTTTCAGTTATTAAACTGCCTTTAATAGCAGTGAAGAAACCTCTTCTGCTCTTTTTATTTCTCACTTCTGAGTTTCAGTTGCTATTTGACTCTTTTCAGATCCGTCCCTGTAGATGTTCTCCAGTGAGTCCGCTAGATTAGATCATGTAGCCTGTGGTTTGTATTAGCAGGTTAGGTAACCTTGTGTTGTCTGTAGGCGTAGCTGTCCCTCAGGTACAGGAGTGTTTGAGTCAACGTCTCAAACACCTGAGGAGACAGAGACAGACAGGTACACAGAGAGAGAGAGACAGGAGTGAAGAGTTTGGTAAGGGAGAGCAGAGGTGTAGAACTAGAAATGTGCAGATCTCCGCCAGGTGTGTCTGCCACCACCACTGCTGTATTGTGTGATTTTTAACTGAATACAACACACAACTGGCTTTAACGCCGACCACACAAAAAACAAGAGGTGACGTATGCAGGAGATCGGCTCGAAGTCGCCGTTTAAGACACTCCATGCAATCTTGCCAAAAAAGAACATAAAACTCACCAAGAGAATGCGGTCATCACTGGGCACCCAAAATATTATGCAGTTTGCTGCAGCAGAATGCGAGATTAGCCCCGGACAGACAGAGATGCACACTCACTCACACACCCGATTTCATAGCACTCCTGGCGGATAATAAAGGTTGAGATGAGGAAAGACGTGGGTTTTTTGTGTCTTTGTGCCGAAACCAGGCTCAGCTGGTGAAAGACCGTAACTCCATGCTGCGGCTGACGAGCATCGGATCCGACGATGAAGACGACACGGACGGTGGGGAGCGAGACAGGCCGACGAACGCAGCCACCGGCGGCGGTGGTGGTGGCGGAGGCGGTGGTGGCAGCGGCGGCACCACCGAGCACCACCGGCGAGTCCAGATGACCTGGACCAAAGAGAAGTCGTCGCAATACAGAGCCATGCACTCTGGCTGCTCCACGCCGGAGGGCTTCAGGGACATGCTCAGCATGCGGCCGTGAGCGCACAACAACACAATCACACCTTCTGTTGGCATTGCAGTTCGTTTTAAGAGGTTGTTGAGCGCATCTCGTTTTTTTCCTTCAGGGACCACTCCAACGTCAGGCGGATGCACACCGCTGTCAAGCTCAACGAGGTCATCGTCAATAAATCCCATGATGCACGGCTCGTCCTGCTCAACATGCCGGGACCCCCCAGGAACACGGACGGAGACGAGAACTGTATCCTTTTACTGCCGAGGGTTGCACTTTTTCAGTTATTTAACCAAATTAAATATTTGTGCTTCATCAGAAGTGCTTGTCGGATGGTCAAATAGCGTCAGAAACCCGACAATGTCTGGAACTTTCCCCAAAACCTTCAGCTCTCTCTCTAGCACTCTTTTTTTTTTTTTTTTTTTAATTCTGAGTGCAAGATCATGAGTGTCTTCAAAGGAAAGACATGTTTTAGTGACATGGTTTTTCAACCTTTGGTTGTGTTTTATACTCCAGCGCATGCGATGAGACACAGATGTATCATCCATCGATCCTTTATCTAGACCAGCTCATCCTGCACAGGGTTCTGGGTGCAGACAACACACTCCCATAAACTCCTAACCTCCTTAACTTGCCGACCAGACATGGAGTTCCTCGAGGTCCTGACGGAGGGATTGGAGCGCGTCCTGTTGGTGAGGGGGGGAGGAAGTGAAGTCATCACCATCTACTCCTGATTGGACAAAAAACGCAGGAAGCCGGCATTTGAAGACGCAGCCGATCGTGCAGAAGTGAGCGAAAGGGGGAGACGTTTTTTGGGGGGGAGGCCCCGTGAGCTCTGGGGCCAAACGGAGAGGCTGTCACGCTCGACACCTCCCCCCCCCCCCTCTTTTTCTTTCTTTTTTTCATCTTTACACCTTTCTGTCATGACACTTCCACTTACGTCAAGCTACAGAAATGCCAACACAATTCCACGAACGAGCAAAAAAATAAATACGAGTGATCAGCTGTGTGTGTGTGTGTGTGTGTGTGTGTGCGCGCGTGTGAGAAAGTCATCCACCTGAGGGAGGGTTGGTTTGCTGGAGAAGGACCAGGGTCTGTGTTTGGGCCGGTGGACCAGTGAATGTGACGAAATATTAAAAACGTAGAGTGCGAGAGGCTGTGAGGCGTCCCACAAACGGAGCAGTCATTCCACTGACGAGACTCAGGGTTGCTTTTTGTACAGAATGTATTTTGGAAGAAGATGCGAGTGTCTGGACGGAGTGCGTTTTTGTTTTTCTCCTTGAAGACACGGTGACGTTTATTACAATATTACATAAATAACTGGAGAAGTAACATCAAAGGAAGGGAGGAGCCTCTAGTTTTAAACCTGCTGACTGGTTCATTTAAAGAAAATCTGTGTGGTTTTTGTAGCGGGTCCGTACTGTAATGTATCATGACAATTTTTGCCTCTTTGTTTTAATTTGATTAAGTTGAGACTCGACTGTTAGAATGGTTTGTTGGTCAAAACTTGCTGCTTTTTATCACAATCTGTCGTCTTGTACGGAGGCCCATTACGACCAGGAAAAGGTAGAAAGAAACTGCTAAAATGAATAGTTACAAAGGCAAAATTATTAGATAAAGAAATCAATTTTTTAACTTACGAAGTGATAATTATGTCACTTCGTCAGTGACGAATTCAAGTCAAAATTATGACTTAACAAGGCCGATATATGAGATACAAAAACGCATTTTATTTTATAAAATAATGGATCAAATGTACTTGAATCCAAATTTACTCTTTTTTTTTTTTGTGTCTTTCTTGATAAAAATGGGCCTCTCTACACCTGCTGCTCCATAAAGACAAATATCTTTCAGCCAAACACCAGCAGCGTGCTCGGCGATGAGGTCGGCCGTGCGTTGAGAATAAGAATCTGTTACTGCTAGCGAGAGGGGGGGGGGGGGGGGGGGGCTGCCTTTATGCTCCACAATTATGGATTTGTGATGTCAACCGAAGTCCCAGGAAAACTAAAATGTATCAATGTTAAGGAAATGAGTGGGGGGGGGGGGGGGGGGGGG